ACCTCTCTAGAAACAGCTCTCTTTGGTTCCACTACACGCCCATCAACTTTGTGTGGTCGAGCACACATTGCTGCATCCACCTCCTCAACACAAGAGTAAGTCACAAAACCAAAGCCTCTGGAGCGTTTTGTTTGAGGATCTCTCATTACCTGTAATATAAAACGTTTAAAGCTTTAAAGTACACCTGTACGGATCATCGTTGCTTCAGAGCCGTTTTACTCCCTTAATAACTTACCACACAATCTGTGAGTGTGCCCCATTTTTCAAAATGTGCTCTTAAACTATCATCGGTAGTTTCAAAACTCAGACCACCAATAAACAGCTTCCTCAATTGCTCTGGCTCCTTTGGATCATGGCCCTGAAAAAAAAATACATTTTAATTATTTTTTGTAGTCTAAGTAGTTACACCAATCTTTTAATAATGAAGGTAAAGTACCAAATACATGTAGCAAATGCTTCGGCCTGTTATTTGGCACAGTGCCATGAAAACCTATCACCAGTCAAGTGACTACCAACACTATGTCCAAACTGAAGACCAGAGAATTTCAGAACCAAAAATGCGTTAATTTTTCAAGGCACAACTGTAAAATACCTGAGGGCTGGTTATAATAAGTCACTTTCTAAGAAACCAAAGTTTTGGAAAAAGTGTTCCAACCATTCCGTTTTAAATACTGACACTACACTCCAACGAACATTTTAAACCACAAAACTGCAAAATAGCTAAAGTTCTAAAGTGACAAATTAAAATGGACACTCCCTAGGCTGAACTAGCATTTCTCCTACTAAAACTCTAAGGCAAAATGCGCATTTAAGAACTTTTTGAAACCAATCTGTTACACAGTACAAAACTACCTTGCATACATGAGCATAAATCTTTCAAAACACAAAACATTTTTCAAATCACAATTGTCAGGTTCAACTTTAGGTACAGTATTGTACTGCCTCCACAGAACAAAGCACAAACAGAAGTTTAGTTTTTAATCAAAAAGATGCAGCGTGGAATTGTTTTATTATTTTAAATTATATGAACTGCCACTTAGTTCATGCATTAAAATTTCCATCATTTTAAAGTCCTTACAGAGGCAACACATCTTGTCTCCTCTACAAGTACATGTTAAAGAATTTAACGTGATGAAAAGCTTATTAAGATAGCCAATTAAGAGCCTAACGTCATCAATTTATTTAATCTCATTTTTTTGAAGTTTTGGATAAATTCACTTGATCGAGAACACAAAAACAAAAACCTTAAAATCCACATTAAGATTCACCCAAACACGACCGTTTTAACTGGCTTTAATCTTCTGAAACAACAATCTGAACAGAAAATAATTACTACAGTGTATCCAAATAATGTTTAAAATTTTTAAATATTTTCCCCAAGCGCTACGCGTAAAATCCGGTATTAGCTACACGTCAATTTCTGGTAATATCTACCTTGGTAAAAACAAGAATAAATTGAGAATTATTTTAAAGCCGCACACTTCTCGTATTTCCAACTGGGTGGAGCAAAAAACAGGCCCGAGAATTT